TTAAAACAGTCAATATGTTGTTGTTCTTCTAACATAGTGGTGTGTTGGTTGATATTCCACTTGTCATTCCTTGCCCAGAGTAGAGGTGAGGGGGATGCGGCATATTTAAAAGTTTATTTAAAAATCATGATTAAACTAATCCTGAAACTAGTTTAAATCTATAAGAAAATTGCCATGCAAGATGGCTTGGTAGTTTTAATAACATTAACTTACAAGTGTGTGTGTGTATGTATATATATATAGATAGATTATAGTTGTAAGAAAATTTTAATAATGCAAAATATCTGTAATTGGACAGTTATTTTTTTTTTCTAACTCTGAATAAAAATATTTTATATTTTAACCCCAAATGTCATTAAAATTATTAAGTAATCTGGCATATTAATTTCCCCTAAATCTTATTTACTAGCTCGAGTTTGGCTAAGCTAGCCAAACACAGACTAAACCTTAAATCAAATATTAAGTTTTGCGTCAACATAAATGGAGTTCAACTAAACCTTTCTTTGAGATGCTGAGAAGTTTATCTAAACACACCTTTTTTCACTAATGTATACAAAATACAAGAAACAATTGTCCAGGAAAAATTGTTTAATTAAATTTGACATATTTAATTATAACCAATCTTTACAAATTGATAATCAAACAATAACTTTATTTTATTTAAACTCTTTTTTCTCAAAAATCTTATCTAAACACACTTTTACAAAATGGACTTTATCCAAATCTATTTTCTCCAAACTTATTTTCTCTAAACCTAATATTAAAGATCAAATAAGCTTTAAAGGAATATTCCAACGACCATACATTTGTTTACTCTAGCAGTGTATTTAGAAAACGTAAAGCCAGACTACACATGTATGCTCTGAGGTATCCAACAGGGTGATGCATACTTGAGAATATGCAACTAACCTACATGCTAAAAGATTTTTGTTCTGCAAATTTTGGAACCACCATCCGAGGGAGAGATTAAAGAAATCATAGGGAAGTGAAGTTCCTATAAAAAAGCTTACCAAATTGTATCTGCGTTCAAGAACCTATTCTCTTTTTTCTTTTTCCTTCTTTTGGGTGCAATAACCTGTTCTATCTAGAGCTTAGCTTTAAACCTCTTAATGATTAGGAATTAAAAATCAACAAATATCATTGGCTGACCTTCATAAAGTCTTATTTCAACGTAAGAGGTGAGCACACGCACACACGGGCACATGCTCACAGGCTTGCCCAAGCGCACAAGTTGTGCACATATTTTAAACCAGGCCAAACAAAATATGGGGAAAGTAGCCTTATGGAATGATCCCACTTTAGATCTATAATAACAGCAGCTTCTTGGATGACAAAGCAAATCTCATCCCACATTCATTTTGCCATCAATGATGTCGAAGACAAATGCAATTGAAAAAAGGGCACTATGAATATAGATTTATATAAACAACTATTTTGAGATATTCAATTATAAAAAATGTCTTCCCTAACAGAATCCAATAAAATAGTCAAAATGAGGGGCAATGAATAGACCAAAAACCACTAAACAAATATGTTCCAACTTCAGTAGAAAAGGAAATAGTCTATATTAACAAACCTAATGAAAGTTCAACAAGTTTCAAAATTTTTAAATGAGATAATTTATCCCAAGCAAAAAAATGTGAATCACATAAAAGTTACATCATGTCCAATGGTTATTCCTTTCCCCAGTTTGAAGTAAATAATTACTTGCCTCAAACCAAACATCATAAGAAGAAGCCAACATCCTCTGTACAGTACCCCAACACATATACGTCAATAAAGAGAAAAATACACTCAACAAAAAGAACTAGCCAAAAGAAATCCCTATTTTTGCACTATTATAATAGGGGCAAAGGTTAAAAAGTGAGATAATGGGGGATAAGCTTCTTGAGAAATGAAGTTCCTATAAGAATGCTCATCAAAATAGCATCTGCATTCAAAAATCTGTTCTCTTTTCTCTTCTTTCTTCTTTTGGGTGTGATAACTCATTCATTCCAGAGCTTAGCTTTAAACCTCTCAATAGTTTGGAACTGAAAGTCAAAAAATAGCATTGGCTAACCTTCACAGTCTTATTTCAAGGTAAGAGTGAGCACAGGCACTCATGCACATGCTCACGGGCTTGAACATGCACACAGGGTTTGCACACGTACATACACATTTTAAACAACCAAGCCAAAAAACATAAGGGAAGTGATTTTATGAAATGGTCCCACTTCAAAACTATAACAACAGCAGTCTCTTGGATGATACAGCAAATTTTATCCCATAGACATTCATTTTGCCATCAATGATGTCCAAGACAAATGCAGTTGTAACAAAGGGTACTGCAAATATAGATTTATAGACAGAGATTATGAAATGTTGAATTATAAAAATGTCTGCCCCAACAAAATCCAATAAAAGAGTCAAAATGAGAGGCAATGAAGAGACCAAAAACCACTAAACAAGTTTGTACCAACTTCAATAGAAAAGGAAATAGTTCATATTGACAAACCAAATAAAAGTTCAACGAGTTTCAAAACTTTTAAATGGGATAATTTATACTAAGCAGAAACATGTGAATCACACAAAAGTTACATCATGTCCGATGCTCATCCCTTTCTCCAATTTGTAGTTAATATTTACTTACCTCAAACCGAAGCATCCTAAGAAGAGGCCAACATCCCATGTGCAACCCTAAAACATACATGTCAATAAAGAGAAAAATACACTCAATAAAAAGAGCTAGCCAAAGAAATCCCCATTCTGCACCATTATAACGGGGTAAAGATTAACAAATGAGATGATGGGGGATAAGTTCCCAAGGAACTGAAGTTCCAATAAGAAAGCTCATCAAAATAGCATCTCTATTCAAGAACCTGTTCTTCTCTCTTTTTTCTTCTTTTGGATCCATTCCAGAGCTTAGCTTTAAACCTGGCAGTAGTTTGGAACTGTAAGTCAAAAAATAGCATTGGCTAACCTTTGTGAAGTCTTATTTCAAAGTAAGAATAAGCACAAGCACTTGCACGCACATGCTCACAGGCTTGCACATGCGCACGGAATTTGCACACGTGCTTACATATTTTAAACAACCAAGCCAAACAACAAAGGACACTGTGAATGTAGATTTATAGAAAGCTATAATGTTCAGCTATAAAAATGTCTGCCTTAACAAAATCCAATAGATATGTCAAAAAGATGGGCAATGAAGAGACGAAAACCACTAAACAAGTCTGTCTATGCCGACTTTAATAAAAAAGGAAATAGTTTATGTTGATGAACCTAATAAAAGTTCAACAAATTTCAAAACTTTTAAATGGGATAATTTATCTCAAGCAGAAACATGTGAATCATAAAAAGTTACATCATGTCCAATGGTCATTCCTTTCCCCAGTTTGAAGTAAATATTTACTTGCCTCAAACCAAAGCATCCTAAGAAGAAGCCAACATCCCCTGTGCAACCCTAAAACATATATATCAATACAGAGAAAAATACACTCAATAAAAATAACAAGCCAAAAGAAATCCCCATTTCTGCACTATTATAACAGGGGTGAAGGTCAACAATTGAGATGATGGGGGATAAGTTTCCAGGGAAGTGAAATTTCTTATAAGAAAGCTCACCAAAATATCATCTCCATTCAAGAATCTGTTCTATTTTCTCTTCTTTCTTCTTTTGGCTGCAATGACCTGCTCTGTCCAAAGCTCAGCTTTAGAGCTCTCAATAATTTGGAGCTATAAGTCAACAAATAGCATTGGCTAGCTTTCATGAAATCTTGATTCAAAACAACTGTGAGCGCATGCATGTGCAAGCACATGCTCACGAGCTTGCATCTGCACACGGGTTGTGCACAAGTTTCGCACATATTTTAAACTACGCCAAAACAACATATGGGGGAAGCAGTTTTTTTCAGAATGATGCCACTTCAGAAGTATAATAACAGCAGCTTCTTGGATGTATAGCAATTTTTATCCCTCAAACATGCATTTTGCCATCTTTCTTGTCGAATAGAAATTATAGTTAAAACAAAGAGTAAATATAGATTTATAGACAGCTAATTCGAGATGTTCAATTCTAAAAATGCTTGCCTTAACAAAATCAAATAAAAGAGTCAAAAAGAGGAGCAAGGGAGAGACCAAGACTGAAACCACTAAACAAGTTTGTCTAGACCGACTTCAATGGAAAAGGAAATAGTCTATGCAAACAAACCTAATAAAAATTCAAACAAATTTCAAACTTTTTAAATGGGATAATTTATCCTAAGTAGAAACATATGAATCAAGTAAAAGTTACTTCAAGTCCAATAGTCACTCCTTTCCCTTAATTTGTACTAAAATATTTCCTTCCTTCAAACTAAAGCATCCTAAGAAGAAGCCAGCATCCCTTGTGTAACCCAAAAGCATGTACACCAATAGAGAAAAAAATCCACTCAACAAAAAGAACTAGCCAAAAGAAATCCCCATTTCTCTGCTGCTATGATAGGGATGAAGGTCAACAAGTGAGATGATGAGGGATAAGCTTCTAGGAAAGTGAAGTTCCTTTAAGAAAACTCATCAAAATAGCATCTCCATTCAGGAACCTGTTCTCTTTCCTCTTATATCTTTTTTTAAGTGCAATAAGTAGTTATTTCCAAAGCTCAGCTTTAGACCTCTCAATAGTTTGGAGCTGTAAGTCAACAAATAGCACTGGCAAACAACTTCATTAAGTCTCATTTCAAAATAAGAGTGAGCACAGGGCATGTACATGCTCCCGCGCTTGCACATGTGCACGGCGTTTGCACGCACACATGGGGTTTGCACATGTACATACATATTTTAAGTAAACAAGCCAAATAACATATGAGGGAAGTGGTTTTATGGAATGATCCCACTTCCGAACTACAGTAACAGCAGTCTCTTGGATGATATAACAACATCTCATCCCACAGACATTCATTTTGCTATCAATGATGTCGAAGACAAATGCAGTTGAAATAAAAGGCACTGTGAATATAGATTTATAAACAACTATTTTGACATGTTCAATTATAAAAATGCCTACCCTAACAAAATCCAATAAAAGAGTCAAAAGGAAGGGCAATGAAGAAACCAAAACCACTAAACAAGTTTGTCTAAACCAATTTCAATAGAAAAGTAAATAGTCTATGCTGACAAATCTAATAAAAGTACAACAAATTTCCGAACATTTAAATGGGATAATTTATCCCAAGCAGAAACATGTAAAACAAGTAAAAGATACTTCATGTCCAATGGTCATTCCTTTCCACAATTTGAAGTAATATTTACTTGCTTCAAGTCAAAACCTCCCAAGAAAAAGCCAGCATCCCCTGTGCAAGCCAAAAACATATATGTCAATAGATAAAAAAAATCCACTCAACAAATTAAACTAGCCAAAAGAAATCCCTATTTCTGCACTCTTATAACAGGGGTGAAGGTCAACAAGTGAAATGATGGGGTATAAGCTTCATTGTCAGGGGAAGGCATATTTCTATTTTAACTGCAAAATGACACCAGGTTGTTCCATATTAAAGAGGAAATTAAACACAGATGGGATTTGAGGCGCTTTTTCCTTTGTTTGTTCGGGGGGAGGGAGCAACGCACAAAATTTGCACAAAAGATGTACCCACATTTAGTTACTGGCAGGAAGGTAGACCCTAAATGTGTCTTTTATTCCAATTATTCGCCAGCAGGTTGGGCATTTTCCTTGGACAGCAATTGCTGAATGAATGCACTCCCTGCAGAAGATGTGCCCACATTTTGTTGATGTTTCTTCTCTCAATTGGCCCATGCAAACTAGGCAATAGAAAGTGGGTACCACTGGCTTTTCAATTACATTTTTATCCTGCCATTGGACAGTAATGTTAGTCACTGATTGGAGTATGACCATAAAGATCCAATAGCCTTGGTAAACTAGAATTTATAAGCATAACAAAATCCACAAAAGAATGCAATTCAGTATCCTAGCAGTTGTTATTTTCTTAACAGAACTTAAAAATTCATCTATTCCGCAGATGAACCAGCCAAGTCCTGTTTACGTTCCTGATGTAAATTTTAACCACATTTGCTGCATTCTATGCTTTACTTCTAGAATTGGTAGATTAAGTAATAAGCATTTTTAATTTTCGGTACACTATAACAGAACCCTTCATTATGAGAATAAGTAACCAAAAGAAATCTCTAAAACAATAAAAAGAAGAAAGAATGTTGCATACATATATCCAGATTAACATTCTGCACATCATTTAATAAGCTAGAATGGCTATATCCATACACTCATTTCCAGACTTAAGGGGAGATCTTTAAAAAACAAAAGCATATCTTTTTGCTGATTCATTTCACCTTTTTAGTCATTAAGCATTTACTAGATAAGAGTGCACACGACTACGAGCTTGATCAGCACCAGTGAGTGTTGCTACAGAGGGATGAAGTGGTTACTACAATAAGTTTTGTGCAAGTATTTCTATAACGTAGAAAATACTTAAGAGGATAAATGGGATGCAAAATTCCAGAATCTGAAGATGGCATATGTAATTGTTTGTTCCCTATGCAACATAGTATATGTGCATTCTCTGTGCAGCAGTTTTATTCTTCTGGAAAATAGCTTTCTTTGGGTCACAGATGAAAAGCCCAATCCATCATAAACGTGCTCAGTATTTTAATCATTTCTTCTAAAATTCCTCTTGTATACATTGGTGACCTGTTTCTAGTAAATTTCACACCATCATCAAAAGAGGAAATATAATCAATAGTCAGGTCAGCAGCCATTTTCAGAAAGAAATTTAAAACATTTTAAAGTGAATTTATTCATTTACAGTAATGATATAAAGGTGGGTGGGCCTGAGTAGAATATTAATATTTGCTCCATAGACAACCGAGCTTCTCTGGTTCCAATCAGATAAATGAAATTTTCATATGTGGGACAAGTCTGTTTATCTTCAATCATCCTTGAACTCCAGAGTGGCAAAAGCATTGCACCCGACTCCTTTTTTATATGAAAAACAATACAACTCTCAAATGCAGCCAGCTAATATTTCTGTTTGCCTCGTTTTGATAAAAATCCAGATAAATATTATTTACTGAAACAATTCATGCATCGTGCAATGGAGTTTGAATGTTTGTGGTCTAAAGGAAATAAAAATAAGCCAAGCACACAAATGGCAATACCCATTGAAACTGATTCTTTATCAACTAAGTTCTGTCGCGATAACATAAGAAATAAAGAGAGTAATAGAATCTCAATTACAGAACTTCCATGGAAACCTTCTCAAGTATGGTGTGAAATATGGGTCTGTCAATATTCAGAACACTGACGTGCAAAATGTTGATAGATAGATGCTTTCATATTTTTTTCCCTAAACAATCATTGACCCACAAAATTTTCGGAGGAATCAGAGTTTGCTTTATTTATGGCTCAAAGTGCAACAAAGCATAAAGATCTCCTAGAGAACACTGATGTGCTCAATGATGATAGACAGATCCTTTCATATTCTTTTCCCTACACAATCATTGACCAGCAAAATTTTCAGAGGAATCACAGTTTGCTTTATTTATGGCTCAAAATGCAATAAAGCACAAAGATCTCCTAAAGCCTAGGTGCAAGGAAAAGCAGTGGACCTGATTGAAGTAAGGTTAATGATGTATAATTTCTCTGTGTATCCTACTATTTCCAATTCTTCTACATAAAAATGCACTTGAATTCTATATTTCCAAGGTAAAAATACCAAAACAGTTCAGTGCATTCTAAATATAAAATATGAGTACAAAAAACAATATTAAATATCAACCACAAGAAATACCCACATGCACGCAAAGTCAAAATTCCAAATTAGCCAAAATACATTTAAACTCAAATTAGCAGTGATGGCATATCAAATTCCAAGGAAAAAAATTTTTGGAAAGAGATTAGGGGAATTAAGAAAACCACAAAGATTAATCAAGAAAACTGTGGAATCATTGTTCTAATCCAAACTTGCTGCTCCAAGGCTAGAATAAATCAATACTTCCACATGCTTTTTAGGAATTCCATCAATATCAAAAGCACATAATAAAACCCATTAGACAAGCCATAAAATACCAATAAAAACAGCCACCAAAACAACTCAAGGTATTTAGATCCCTTGCAAGGAATCCATATATATGTGGATTTAACTAACAACTTAAGGTATTTAGATCCCTTGCAAGGAATCCATATATATGTGGATTTAACTAAGGCACACTTCCTATGAAATTGCACCTTCAGTTTCACCGGTCCAGACACACCCCTGATTAAGGAGCATCGCCTGAACTTGGGTGAGATGCACCTAATTGAGCCTTGATGTGACTTGGTCATTGTGGGGCCTTTTCTCCACCTTTGACAGCTACCATTAATGCCAGACTCAAACTTTTATCTAATCTGTAAATAGATATTAGTTGAGTTGGCAAACCTGTTTTACTTCAGAGAAAAGATGACGTTCCATGATTGTTAGAATCTTAAAATTGACTCATTTTTATTAGAGTTTACAAGTTAAATTTTATATTGAAATGAATTTTGGCGAGTCTATCAGAATTGTAAAAAAAATTTACAAGACTAAAGTAAGACATGACACCCAGAAATGGCACTCAAAGGCAAGAGAACAATTATGAGCAATTATATGGCTTTGTGAGTTGGCACATCCTTCCTAGAATAATTGATCAATATTTTCCATAGAGAAAATAGGGAAAGAAGAATGGAATAATAATGACTCTGAGTGTCTCTTGTATCCATAAAACGCTGAAGTTAGCTTTTATATAAATTCTATTTGACTTCTTTCTGAGTTTTCCCTACTACTGTTTTCAGGTGTAGAAAAAACAAAGCAAAAACCCAATGCCACCTACATGTGGAATCCCTCCTCCTCTAAAATGCTGAGACCCCAATTAACATGCTAATAAAGCCTGCTAAGTAGGACAAAGGCTCTCCCCCCTCCCCACCACTGCTTGACACAGGAAAGATGCAGAGCTCAATGGGAAGCTCATTGAGGATGCAAAAAAGCATTTGATGGATCAAAGACATAATTTTCCAGCTATATCCCTCATTATACCAAATAAAATGCTAGTTTCACTAACTCAAAGGACCCAATCTGCTGGACTAGAAAGAACCCTCTATCATGTTGGCATCAAGCATCTTGGCTGAACACCTTTTTCACTTCAAAGCAGCTGTTCAGTTGACAGAGAACAAGGTGCAACTCCTACTAGACTAGAAGGAAACCCCCCCTCAAGTTGACATCAACTGTCTTGGCTAAAAATCTCTTCCACTTCAAAGCAGCTTTTCAGTTGAGAGGCAGAGTAAGGTCTCACACCTCCCCGCCAACTAGGAGGGGACATATTATATCTTTCAGGTCTTTCACCACCATACCTCATTTTTGCCCAGGATTTGGTGCCACCATCATGATACTTAATGTTGGAACTTCATTTCATGCAAGAAATCCATTTCTAGAAGTTCCTGCACTATGCAATCGTACTCGATTAGGGCCTTTAGATATCAATTCAGCTGCTCTTTTTGAGTCAGATTCACATCTATATTTTGTTTCTTTTCTCTTCCTACTTCTATTTTTTTGTTGCTAGTGTATTTGGCTATTTTTGGAAACAGAAAAAAATGATATCTTCAGAATCTCAATTATAGTAACTTCAGTTTAAATACCAACCAAAAACTGTTAATAAGGCTTTGGCAAATAATACAAACTTGTTTCCTAAGAAGAAGTAATTTCTGTAAATTCTTACCTTAAACAACTAGGGCAAAGTATTTGCTAACAAGTGTCCACTGTCTCTTTTTGTCTCTGTTTCAAGAACATAAAATAATCTTTGCAAATAATCCAAAAAAGAATATTCTTTATTTTCCGAGAAGTTCATTAAGAAACATGGGTTGTAAAAGAAAAGGAAAAAGTCAAATGCCCAAAAAAAATTTAGACACAATAATGAAACAAGCATAATTAGTGAAAGAAATGGGAAAACAAGAAACTCTGAGTTTTGATAACTTGGTCCCAAAGGGTGGTATTTGCACCAAAAACATTGTCCCACATAAAGGTAATGCTGAAAAATGACATCTTATTCAAATATTCAATGCTCATTATGATATCAGGAAGTCACATGACAGTGGGCAACCTACAATTTTGATTTATTCTTTCACCCTATATAAAACGTGTCGCAATGTTGCCTAGTTGCAGGAGCCAAGCAAGGAGATAAGCTAGTTGCCAAAGAGTTGTGCTGTACTTGGATAATGGTATAACTAGCCAGGTGGGTTCCACCACAAGAGGGTTGGATGAAGAATTGAATGGTGCTAGAGAGAGTGCATGCCTAAGTGTGAACTTTAGGAGTGGTAAAGCTTCAAACTCTCAAGTTACAAGGTCTTGATCTCTATTTAAAATTGCATTTGGGCTGGGAACCCACCTCCTCACTTAACCTGCTTGGTCAACATTGAGGTTATGTGGCTTCCTCAAAGTGGCTTGGAGAGCCCAAGGTGAGGGACATCCAACTGTCACGTGCAAGGCCCAACGGTGCACCATGTGGATGTCAACATCAAGTAGTTGGTTAGGCAACTTCCAGTAATATTGTGTATAAAGTTGCACCAAAATGTCCTTTGATTTAGACTCTTGGTATCTAGGTCCTCACTCTTAAAGTGGTCATAATAGCCGAGTCCATGTAGAGGCATGTCTAACATATCCAACTCCTAGTCCTCCAAGCCACTTGATTCCTAATGGTCCCACTCACGGATGGTTAATTGAGAGTTGAGATAAGTGTAGTGTCTTTAAGGGAACTTGGACATTTGTTTAGTTTGCTATGGTTGTCTAATGGTGGTCTACTGAGGAAAGAGGGGCTATAAAGCTGTCTTGAGTGATGGACCCACTCAAATAAAGGTCCCCTTGAAGGTTAGGTCCACATTCAAGTCCTTAAAAGGAAATAGCATGGATCCAATTGAGTAGCAGTAAGTGATGGTGACCTTTAGGTCAAGTCCCTTGGGGTGTTCAAGCCTTTAATTGGCACGTTACCCCAGTCATGAGTCACTCTCAAAGGCGGGAAGAGCCTATAAGTGCCTAGTTAAGCTAGCACAAAATCCCTCTAGTTAAGAAATGCTTAGTAAGAGTGGTTCTGTGTCCTGACAAGGCTAACACCAAACCCTGCAGCTGAGAAAGAGGGTTATCATTTTACTTAGCTTATAGCCTAAGAGTGACCTTTTCTACTTAAGTGATGATGTGAAGATATATGTCAATGAAGGGGAAAAAAAAAATTAAATTGATGTAATGTCTTTTTGTCAAATAACATTTC